ACACGTGGCCGCCCCTGCACACCCTCCAGCCTCCCTGCGCACCGTCAGGTCTGCGGCACACGTGGCCGCCCCTGCACACCCTCCAGCCTCCCTGCCCACCGTCAGGTTTACGGCACACGTGGCCGCCCGTGGCTCTGGTGGGAAGTTCGGGAGTTTCTGCTTCCCTCTCTGGATGCGCCCCTGAGGGGAAGGTGGTGTCCTCCCCTCGGCCCAGGAAGGGGAGATTGTCCCCTCTCCCCGCGGTGGCGGCTGCAGCCAGATACTCCCCCAGAGCAGAACAAGGGTGGGGGGAGTGGGGGACGCTTGCTGACCTCAGACACTTCCCAGTTCGCTCTCAGGAGGGACGCATTTCCCCTACGCACATTGCTTTGAGGCTGGGCTCACATTTCTTTCTGACAGTCCTGGAAGCTGGGAAGGCCAAGATGAAGGCGCAGGCAGGTCCGGGGTCTGGTGAGGGCCGATTCCTGGTTTCCTGACAGCTGACTTCTCACACGGTGGAAAGGGGGCTAGGGAGCTCCTCCTCTTGTAAGGACACTAATCCCATTCCCAGGGGCTCCACCCTCATGACCTACTCACCTGCCAAGGGCCCCGCCTCCTAACACCATCACACTGGGGGTAGGATTTCAACACGCGAATTTCAGGAGGACACAAACCTTCAGTCCATCGGGCACATGGGGAATGGGTGGGAGCATGTGGTGTTAACTGTTGCGTGGGTGGGTGGGTGAGTCAGTGGGGGCCACATGCCCCTGTTCACATCACTTGGTCGGAAGAGGGGCTTTTACCTGGGTGGGTCTCCCCCAGCACCACTGGGGCCTTATGGCTTTTATCACCACAGCTTTTATCACTACAGCCCTGCAAGGCGGCAGTCATGACTGAGAAACCGAGACTCTGAGGGGAGGTGCTGGGCTCAGGCTCACCAGCTGCAGGGTGCCACGTCTGATATCCCATCCTCTGCTCCCAGCCCTGAGGAGCCCCCAGAGCCCAGCCTGCCCCAGGCTCTCTGCCCAGTGGCAGAGGAGACCCAGGCCTCATTTGGTGGTTGCCAAAGGCACAAAGGCAGCCCCCTCTCAGTGATGCTATGGTCCCCCCACCCCCGAATCCACATGCAGAGATCGGGGTGGAGATGGCCCCAGTGACCCGGGGACTGGCCAGCACCTTGGACACTGTGGCTGATTATCTGGACTAAGCACACAGCTTCAGGAGTCTACCGGAAGCTAGGTATAGTGAGCCCCTGTAGTCCCAGCTACTCAGGAGGCCGAGGCGAGAGGATCTCGCTTGAGCACAGGAGATGAAGGCTGCAGAGAGCTATGACTGCACCACTGCACTCCAGCCTGGGTGACAGAGAGAAACTTTGTCTCAAAAAAAAAAAAAAAACAAAAAACAAAAAACAAAGTCGATTTGGGCCTACTGGGGTGGAGTGGCCTGGGAGTGGTAATGGGGTAGGGATGGGGTGGGGAAATGAGAGGGAGGGGAGTCTGTGTCGGTGCTGGAAGTTGCTTTTTGGATTCCCTCCGCCCAAGCACAATAAGCATCTAGGGTGGGAGTCCTCCGGGGCAGCCCTCTGGTCTCCTAGCCCGCCAGTACCCCGGCACCCCTGCAGACCCGGCTGCTGCTCGTGTGCTCCCCCTTCTCTTCCGGGCTCTTCCTCCCATCTGGACCTGGTGCCTCCCAGAACTGAGAAAGCCACAAAGACCCTGGGCTGGAGTCAGGCTCTCCATCCCCATAACGTCCTCCCAGCCTGCCTGGGACTTTGGCTCAACCCCTCCTCAGCCAAGGACACCCAGGGCCTCAGGTGAGGCGTCAAGGATGCAGGTCCCGGGGCGGCTGGAGAAGACCACTGAGGAAAGGATTTTCCCCAAATATCCGATGTGGGTGTCTGTAGGACTCTGCACTGGATTCAGGTGGCTAATAACGGAGCTCCTCTTCCAGAGGGCCTTCCAGAGCCATCCTCGCACCCCTGGGGCTGCCCCCTGCAGGCCCCGCCAAGCTCCTTCGAGATTCCTCCTTCTCAGAGCAAACATGTCAGTCAAAGACGTCAGCCCGTCTCAGAATGCCCCTCCAGCCTTAAAATAAGAAACAGACCCAACGCTGGGCTCTCAGGCCCTAGGGCCCCGGTGGCCTCCTGTCCCACCTCCCACTCCCCTCCCTCGCCTGTCCCTTGGTCTTCCTCCTCACTCTTCTTCACTCCACCCCAGGTCCTAGGACCATGTGTAGCTCTGAGCAGCCACTCAGGAGCTCTGCCTGCTGGACACAAACGCCTGGGCCTACGCAGTGCCCCACAGCACGGGGCAATAGCATCAAAGGACATTCGGACACGTCCTGGGCCCCAAACCTCCTCCAAGCAGGTGACCAGGGGCTCTTGGCAGAAATGAAGAGTGAAGGGCTGGGGTGGAGGTAGGAGGCAGAGGCGGGCGGTGGCACCCGGGGAAGGGCTGGAGCCTGAGAGGAGAAGGTGAGAAGGTTCTTGGGAGGCAGGAGGGACCAAGGGGCCCTCACGGTGGGCACACACTGTAGCCTGGCGTGACTCCTCCCTCCCTCCCTGCTCACTGGCTGTTTCCATCCACACAGCCTGGAGTGAGTGGTGCTCACGGTGTGAGAAGGTGGCTGGAACTTGGAGGGACACTTGAGCCCAGCCCTGAAGGTCCAACAGAGGAAGGACCAGAGGAGCCCAGAAGTGTGAGTGCAGCCCCACTAGGAAAGTGGTACTGGATGGGACTGGGGAGGTGTTTCAGTGACCACCACACAAGGGCATACTTTGGGCTTGGAGAGCAGCTCAGGCCTGGGCACGGGAGGATGCCCTGTTGGTGGACACTTGGGTTGATGCATAGGTCAAGGTCAGTGGCTAGATTCAGTCAATTATAATGGAAAGTTAAAATGTCCAAATCCAGCCTGGGCAACACAGTGAGACCTCATTTCTACAAACCAACCAACCAAAACAAGAAAAGCGGCCGGGCACGGTGGCTCATGCCTGTAATCCCAGCACTTTGGGAGGCCGAGGCCAGGAGTTCGAGACCAGCCTGGCCAACATGGTAAAACCCCACTTCTACTAAAAATATAAAAAGTAGCCGGGCGAGGTGGCAGGTGCCTGTAATCCCAGCTACTCAGGAGGCTGAGGCAGGAGAATCGCTTGAAACCGGAAGACGAGGTTGCAGTGAGCTGAGATCACGCCACTGAACTCCAGCCTGAGCGAAAGAGCGAAACTCCATCTCAAAAAAAAAAAAAAAAGTCCAAACCCAGTGTGGGGACTTTTCTGTATTCCCATTTAGATTACAGAAGCAAACACAACAAAAGCAACACTCGTGTCCCCAACACACACACACAGACTGGCACCAGATTTATTATTATCTCTTGTTAAATATTTTCCATCTTTTCTGAGAACATGGTCTAGAAAGGCATAGTTGGTTTTCTTCCGGGCACATGCCTGGGTGGGCAGTGAGGAGAGAGGAGAGGTGCGCACCGGGCGGGCTGGTCCTCTGCAGAGAACAGCTTCGGGCTCCTCTTAGGGAAGCCGGACAGGCCAGTCCCACGTTGGAGGAGGTGTGGAGGAAGGAGGTCCCAGGGACAATGAAGATGACCTTATACATGCATTCAACATATCCTGGAGTAACATGCACTGAGGGAGGTGGGGAGGGGAGGGGAGGTGGGAAGGGAAGGGAGGTGGGAGGGGAGGGGACGGGAGGGTCAGCTGAGCGAGCCCCTGCTCGCTGCGTGGAGCCTGTCCTGCAAGCGTCTTGTGGGGTGGGTTTGGGGAGTCAGGGCGGTGGTGAGTCTCCATGGTTCTAACAGGGGGACGTGGGTCTTTCTCCTGGTGAGGTGTTGGGGCACTCTGAGCTGGGATAGGGGTCCTGAGCAGAATGGCTCCAGCCTTCAGAGGATCTCCGGCTGCTCCTCTGGGAAGGTGGCGTTCTGACCAGCCAGGGTGCTGATGTCAGGCGCAGGCCAGAAAAAGGCCGGAGGCAGGGCCCCAGAATGTCCACTGAGTGCTGGGTGGCACAGGGCAATGCTGGGTGGTCCTTCGTGCCAGCCCCGAGCCTTCCTGAGTGGATCCCATGGTGCTCATCCCTCATGAGCTGGTTCACGGCTTGGGAGGGGCCGCAGGTGGCAGGTCCTAAAGGCTCCAGGACCAGGTCCTGGCTCTAAAGGGAAGAACCAGACCGGCAGCTCCAGACCCAGGCTCCTTCGAGTCTGGGCCAGGTGGGACTCCAGGTGGGAGAGCGGGGGGGGCCTTCTCCAGAGGCGCTGACTGCTCTGCCGGCCCTGACCGGGGGCGGGCGCCAGAGTCATCTAGACTCAGTGTAACTGTCCCTGGTCGTCTTCCACGCTGAATTTGGAAAGCAAATTCTTCACAGCAGCTATACAGTCTGCGAAGCTGTTGAAAAAGACCTGCAGAATGGCTCTCGACACCCAGGCTCAGGTGTGCAGGCTGCCTCTGTCACTGGGCAGCGCTCTCGACACCCAGGCTCGGGTGTGCAGGCTGCCTCTGTCACCGGTCTGTCATACCGGCGGCCACCCCAGGGGCTAGTTACCTGTTTGGTCAGGCCCAGAAGAGGACCCTGCAAATTCCTCCTCCCTTGTTTCTTTGAGATGGAAACACAGCCCCCCTCCCTTCAACTGTGAAGGGGCGGGTGAGGCCAGCCGGCCTCCGCGGGAAGAACGGCTGTGTGCCTGTGGAGGACACGGTGTGCCTGTGGAGGACACGGTGTTCGGGAGACTCTGCTCCGGTGTGCCTTGACCTCCATCACTGTGACTCCCAGACCAGATTCCTCACGGGAAAACAGGGACCAGCCGCCACCCAGTGTGACGAAAGAGGTCATCAGAGACATTCCCATGGGAAGGGCTGGCCCCGGGGCCAGCACCCGTGGACGCTGAACTAAATGACATCTGAATCTCAGGGGGAGGAGCCCGGGCAGCTGGAGCGTGGCCCTGGCCAGTTGTGGTGACAGAATCCCAGGGGCCTCGGGCCTGGAGTTCTGCTCTTCCCAGCTGGGAAGCTTGCAGAGAGGGAAGGACACTCCTGCGCCACCAGAGTTAAACCAGACGAGTTCCCAACCCGGGTGTCCAGCCCTCTGCCCGCCCTGCTGGGCCTGAACCCCCGAGTGCTGGGGGCCTCGTCCGATGTTGCTTAGTAGCTGTTGTCTGTGAAGAAAGACACGCGGGCAGACGGGGAGCAGTGGTCCTCCTCGCTTGGCTCGGACAGCTCCCCATACTCGCTGTTGTAAAACACCTGGCCTCCTCGGGCCCCCCGGTCAGGCCGCCGCCGCCTCCCTTGGGAGTCAGGGTGCGCCCTGGTCACATCCACACTCTGGTCAGGTCCTTTACAGCTGCCAAGACATGGAAGGTGGAGTTAGTAAGAGAAGAAGGCCGGGTGGCGGGCGGTGCACACTGGTAATCCCAGTACTTTGGGAGGCTGAAGCAGGCGGATGGCTTCAGGCTAGGAGTTAGAGACCAGCCCGGGCAACATGGGGAAACCCCGTCTCTACAAAAAATACAAGTTACCCAGGCGTGGTGCAGGCCTGTGGCCTCAGCTAAGTGAAATAATTGCTCGAGCCCAGGAGGTGGAAGTTTCATGAGCCAAGATCATGCCGCTACGCTCTAGCCTGGGCGACAAAGTGAGACTCGGCCTCAAAAACAGACAAATGAACAACGAGAAGGAGGGACCAGACCCCTGTCGGGGTCTGATAGGAACCACCAAGGACACAGCGGAGCATGGGACATGCTCAGACTTCAAAAAACACACGCAGACTAGACTAAACAGCAAAGCGGATTGATCGGATTCGGCACTCACTGGAGCTTTGTCCGAGCCTCGACACGAGACTGTGAAGAATGTCCAACGTCATCCCCAACCCAGTTCTCACTCTGTCTTGCCCGTCTCAGTGAACGGCACCAAAGTCCCCTCAGCTGCTGGAGCACCTTGGGGTTCTCCTTGCCTCCTCCTTCCCCTCACTCTTCATATCCCGTCCATCCAGATCCCGTCCATCCAGATCCCATCCATCCATATCCAATCCATCCATATCCATCCATCCATATCCATCCATCCATATCCATCCATCCAGATCCCATCCATCCATATCCCATCCATCCATATCCATCCATCCAGATCCCATCCATCCAGATCCATCCATCTATATCCCATCCATCCAGATCCCATCCATCCATATCCCATCCATCCATATCCCATCCATCCAGATCCCATCCATCCAGATCCC